TCATTTCTACCGGTCATTATTTCTTGATAACGGAACTCTCAAAACCCCGACACGCTTATTATACGGCTTTTTTAAAATGAAATGAATACCGAGCGCATTCACTTCTGTAACAGTTTGTATGGGACATATTGTTATATTGTTGACAATTATATGAGCAATACATGGACAATTTCAGTATGGCCTTATTATGATCTTATTGCCATGTATTGTTTATTGTGCTGCGTTTGACTTGGAGATTGGATGGTGGTGGTGGTGTGATGGATCCCTAATGTACCCCTAAGATACACTAATTGATTCAAACGGCAAAAATGGTAACACCTGCGCTAACATTAGGAGCACGCTATTGTTATTCTGTAAATCTCTCACTTAAACTGGCTTTAAGAACATAAATGAACACCACTGCCACTATTTAGAAGCGATGACCACGAATAGGACTACACCGGCATGGCTCTTTTGTGCCTCCATCTCTGCTTCCATCTCTCCTCTTGTTTTTATTTTCTCTTCTCTCTCTATCTCTCTCTCCCTCTCTCTCTCTATGCCTGGCTTTTCTTTCCCTACTCTCTTCCTCTTCGTTCGCTGCGCTCTGGCCATGCTGATGATTGACGGCCCGAGGGCTTTAATGGGCACTGGAGAGCCGGAGCTGAGGTCGGGGTTGTCATGGCAACACGGAGAAGGGGCCCTTTTGCTGCTGCCGCTGCTTCACCTGAGACACACACACACACACACACACACAGACAGACACACACACAGACACACACACACACACACACACAGACAGACACACACACAGACACACACACGTGCATCCACGCCACACACAGTTACATTGGTTCCACTTCTTCCATTCACTCCAAAGCCTCTCTTTTGTCTAGTCTCTGCGCTGACCGGTTTGCCTGGTGTTTTTGGATGCTGTTGCTGTGTGTCTGTGTGCGTGTGTGTGCGTGTGCGTGTGTGTGTGTGTGTGTGTCACTTGACGTCCCATCATTTCTTCAGACCAATGTTCAAAATTAGCTCGCAGTCCTAACGCTTAATTGGGTCTGTTTGAGGTCAGCAGTATCTCGGTGGAAAATGGCTCTTCCGTCTTCCACTGTCTGACATATAGACGGTGTCCCCAGGATGAACGCACACCCACACACTTGCAAACATCGCCCGTGGGTTTGAGCACAATCTGGCAATATGTGCAGAGCAGTTGTGCTTAAATATGGGATTTTACATGTGAAGGATGGTTTGGAGGCACGAAACATTCACTACTGTGTGAATTGGCAAATAATACAAATGCAGTGTTTGACCTGTCACTGCGCTGTAAGAGTCTGTCTGTGTTCTGGCCGTACTGTTTGTATACTGTACATGCTTAGGGCTGTGTACATATATATTATTTATTTTGTTAATGGATGAAAACCCAAAGAAAACTCAGCCCTCCATATTAGTTTATTTGTGTATTTAAAAAAAAAATCTGATTAGTTTCCAAGCAAACATTAATAATTAATTAAGATCCATTCACTAAGTTAAAAGTTACTCTGAAATCCACTAAATGTTTAAGCCTGAAATACTAATTGCATTTAACAATACTAACTATTCATTCATTTTCAAGCCCTTTATTGTCCATTTCTGGGTCAGGGGGGTGTCAATGAGGGCTGCCCCCCAATGCTCATAGCACCAGTCCCTCTGATCCTCTGCAGGGGGTGAGTCCACAGGAAGATGGCTGCTCTGTCAGTGGTGAAACAGCCTTGGTCTTTCAGCGGGGGCTTCAGGCAACGTGGGGTTAAGTGTCTTGCCCAAGGACACAACGACAGTAGACATCAGTGGGAGCAGTTGGAGTAGGTCCCATGGTGGCAATCGAACTCACGACCTCCAGGTTCAAAGGCCACTGCTCTACCAACTGAGCTACTGTCGCCCCAATACTAACTAAAGGAACCGTATTCGGCTCTTGCAGCCTTAAACTGAACCTGTGCCAGTGTCTCCAGTTGCAAATAAACAACAATAACTGTACTTAACCAAACACAAGGGGTTTCACCATAGAACCTGGCAATATTTGTATATGTTATGTATGTTTTAAACTAATTAAAACTACGACCAAAGCATCATAGCACATTCAGATGAAAAGCTGAACCCGGAGTTGCATGTGTGCTCCTAATGTTGAACATCCTCATATTTCTGTGAAAGGAAGAAGCATTTGTTGCCAGGAGTACGTGTAGGAGACGAGCTCGAACCAGGACACAGACAGTGATGTAACACTGATTTATATTCATATCCATCAAAAAACAAACGCGGCGCTTATGATTGATATGTGCATCGATGTTAGTGCAGTGCAGGGCTTGTGGTTTGAGTCTAGACTTGGCAAATCAGAGCAAAGCGAGTGTTATGAGCTGGAGACGTGCTGTGATTCTGTCTGGCTCTTATTGTTCATATCCGTGTGGCTGTGCAGACTGACGGCTTCTTGCCCCGTTTTAACATGCAGTCGGCTCTATAAAAGCCTCCATCGATTTGTCTGTCTGTTGTGGTCAGCCACTGAACCGTGCAAACTAGTTCCTCATGTGTCAATCATGAACGACTGCAGCGCTAGATTCTTTTTTGTAATCGTTCAAAATTCCCTTTTATGTCATGACTTGAGTGTATTTGCTAAACTTTTGCTACTACCAGTCCTACCACAACTGACTTATCTTCAAACCACACAAATACAACACAAACCATTGTTGTCCACATCTCCAAACTAACCCCAAATTTACACCTTAAGAAGGGCTGTAATTACGCGTCATGCTGCTATGAATAGAATGGAGTTTTTTTTTTTTTTACGAGTCAGAGTGGCACATCCTGGCTTATGACTCCGGAGAAGATGGGAAAAAGAAGCAGAATGAGCCTCTCTCTGGTGAACATAAGTGCTTTCTACATGCATTCCTGCCGACGTTATGCCTATGTTACTCCTACCGCCGTAAGACTACTGCTACCACCGGGCCTTTTTCATACAACATTAATTTCAATGTAGGGCTATACCAAGTTAATCGATTAATCACAACTAATCTATTGTTCAAAATTATTTAGTAACCGATTAAAGGATTTTTGAAGAGACTTAAACAGGCCGAGAAGATTTTTTTACGACTCAGACACTTCTATAATAACTGTAAACACATTTTTATCAAACAACCCACTGTGGAACAACTATTTGAAGAAGTTCTCCCGGGGCAGGGGCTCCAATTGAGCTTTGTTTTGGTCAAATGTAAATCATATCCTGTATCACTGACAACTAATCGATTAAAGCTGGAGTACCTGACTTTGAAGCCACAAAAAATAACCATGCTCTAAAACATATGTGACTAGTTCCTCGCTCTCGACACCAGTTGTTATGTTTGTTCTTGGATTCTGTCATATATTTTGATCAACTTTTGCAGAGAAAACCCCCATTCAGCCTCTCACCATGTAAAAGATACTATGTTAGCTATGGATGTCGTCCGCTTGTTACTAAATGTTACTTGAAGAAGTCCTTTTATGTTGGGGCAAATAAAATGTATTTATGAATCAAACAAAGCTAGGTTCTCTGTTGTTAGGTTAGCTTTAATCCAGCGTAAAATAGGGATGTACCGATCCAGATTATTCCGATATTCCTAAATATTGTTTTGCCGATACCGATCCAATTTTTTCTAATATTTTCAAAGCATTAAAAATTTTGCAACCAGTACTTTAAAATGTTTTTGTTTTTTTATTATTATAACATGATTGCAAATATTGTTTGGCTTTTGCTTAACAGACCAACTGAGTTAGGTCATAGGTAAGAACCACATCAGTATTGAATATTTCACCTTTAAAATAAACTTAAAATAAAATAAATATCAAAGAGGAACATTTATCAAAAAGCGGCCCTCAACATTCAGTAAAACAAAAATAAAAGAGCTGGTACATAACTGACTGGACACAAAAAGCCAGTACTTAACCAGTGTGTGACCTCTGTAAATGTAAACTCCCCGATATTTAACAAATCCGATAATATCCGATCCTTACAAAATACCCATATCAGCCCCCGATACCGATACTGAATATCGTATCGGTACATCCCTAGAGTAAAATCATCCAACTAATCAATCATCAAAATAATCTCAAACCACAGCCTTACACCAATGTTAAAGACCTTATGACGGGTTTTAAAAAAATATATAGTGGATATCAACATTGCATGACAATGTCAATTTGAAAGAGATTCCGGCAAAAAAACCCCTATATTTTATAAAAAGAACGTGTTTTTCATGAATTTAAGTTGTCTATGCTCTAACCTGTGTGTGACGTCACAGCGGGTAACGCCCATGCATTGAAAACCATGGATCTATGCCACAGGACTGCCTTTTCTCTCTTCTCTCCACTGATGCCCAACACAATACTGCCCTCTACAGGTGACAATTGCTCACTACACATAAATTGCCGTTTTGAGAGTGAAAAAGTGTCTGAGGTGGGATTTGAACCTATGTATCTGGATTGGCAGTCCATCGACACAACCACTGGACTATCTCAGTGACAACGAAATGTCACAATCTAGTAGTTATCTCACACTCTCTGTACACGGCCTTGTCATCTTGAATATCCGCGAAAAAAGAACGAATACCAAATTGTAAACAACTTACAGCGTTGAAACGTACCCACTCTGACGTCACCAAGGGCTGTGAAGTTTTTTCGTCTCTAAGGGCGTTGCTATGGGGTTATTTCGATTTGGGGGGATCACACAAAAAAAACAACAACTGCTTTTGAAACCTTTAGTAGTTCTCTTCTAATATAAAATGGTATTAAAACTGTATTTCTAAATAAATCAAACCCGGCATAAGGTCTTTAATGTTGAGTGCAGCGTACAGCGTTGTCCTCTGCTCGGATCTATTTTTAGACAGATTATTTGAACTCTCTTCCAACCCCTGCCATTGTCCTGTGGCTGTTTGGATTCTTTGCAGACATCAAGTGCTAACTGTTATTTTTGTGCGTTCTTGCAGAGTGCAGCCGCTGCCCCCAGTCCAGTGATGGGCAACATGCCACCCAACGACGGCATGCCAGGAGGACCAATGCCCCCAGGCTTCTTTCAAGTAAGACTATCCCTCACACTATCCCCTCACCCCTCTGCCAGCCAGCACTAAGCCACTCCTTCTGTTCTTAGCTTCTTTCGCTAATCCCTGTCCAGATGTGTTCCCCTCTCCACGCCCCATATGTCCCGGGCTGTTAACTGCTGCTGCTCGCAATGTGTCTGTAATAGTGTCTGTTTGCTTGAGAGTATGCTTAAAGCTGGGGTACCTAACTTTGCTATGTACAATGTCATTCCATCTAATTTACTCCTTGCTATCAAAACATAATTCGTTTTCACACGCATTTATTTCTTGAGATTAGCTTTTTTAAGACAGAAAAGTTGAAAAGCTTGTGAATTGTTTATATGGAACACGTTTTTTCTTCTTCAGGTCCCCCTTAAAGCTTGGGTACCTTACTTTCAAACTACCAATTAAAGAGCTAAATCCATGCACTGGTAACAAACAATTAAAAGTTGCTTCAAAGTCTACAACTTGAAAGTAATACATATCTTTGATCATATGACCCAGTAGCATCATGTTTTTGCAGTAGAAGCTGTTTTTTTCCGATGTCATTCGTACAGCTCTTGTTTTTTAGAGCAATTGGTGCATTTGTATTCTGTAACACCCGAGACACCATCGCTGCAGCCATAGCCAGACAGAAGTGCCTTTTCCTCCACGGCAGAGTGATGTGCAGAGCCGAGCCGAGCCGGTCTGTGTGGCTTCACTAATTCTCGCTGTCATCGCGGCGCTCTGAAGGCTGTCTCTGAGGTCACACACTCAGTCTCTATTTTCATCGCACATGGCCCCATCCCCCGCCTGTCTAAACACGTGCACATAAAAGCCCCATCTGACACTATGACACACGCTAAACTAGTGACACGTTTAAGTATCGGAGCGTCTTCAACGGATCTGCCCCCAATGGTTCTGCTCCCTGTGAAAAAAGCAAACATGAAGAAAGACAATATCACTGGGAAACTCTACTTTGCGACATGAAAGGCAAACGATTGTGCTGTATAGACAAAAGAGAACAAAATGAAAGACGACTCAATGATAAAACAGTGTAGAGTAGGAACATGGCAACAAAAGCGTTTGCTTTTTAAAAGCTGTGCTTTTAAGTTTTATTCACTCTTGAACTCATCAGCTTCTGAAACTACACTCAACACGCAGCAGTTCAGAAAGATTGTCACACATCTTAAACACGAGGAACAAACGTGACGCAATTTAACTCAATCATTCTGTAACTGAATTTTTTTCAGACAATGACAATATGATTTTAAGGACACAGTGACTGTCGCCTCTCAGCAACGAGGTCCTTGGTTCAACTCCCACAGAGCGCGGCCTTTCTGAGTCTATAGGCCTCCTCTGGGTGCTCCAAAACCATGGGAATGGGGCGGAGCTACAGAAAGTTGGACCACAGCAGCTGTATCTTCATAGATCGGCTCCGCCCATGTGTCTCCTTGATATTGCTCCATTCCCCACAGTGTGAGGAGGACTGACCCACAGTGAGAGTGTGAGGTCTGACCCACAGAGAGGAGGTCTGACCCACAGTGAGGAGGACTGACCCACAGTGAGGAGGTCTGACTCACAGAGAGGAGGACTGACTCACAGAGAGGAGGTCTGACCCACAGTGAGAGTGTGAGGTCTGACCCACAGTGAGGAGGTCTGACCCACAGTGTGAGGACTGACCCACAGTGAGGAGGTCTGACCCACAGTGTGAGGACTGACCCACAGTGAGGAGGTCTGACCCACAGTGAGGAGGTCTGACTCACAGTGAGGAGGTCTGACCCACAGTGAGGAGGTCTGACCCACAGTGAGGAGGTCTGACTCACAGAGAGGAGGTCTGACCCACAGTGAGAGTGTGAGGTCTGACCCACAGTGAGGAGGTCTGACCCACAGTGTGAGGACTGACCCACAGTGAGGAGGTCTGACCCACAGTGAGGAGGTCTGACTCACAGTGAGGAGGTCTGACCCACAGTGAGGAGGTCTGACCCACAGTGAGGAGGTCTGACTCACAGAGAGGAGGTCTGACCCACAGTGAGAGTGTGAGGTCTGACCCACAGTGAGGAGGTCTGACCCACAGTGTGAGGACTGACCCACAGTGAGGAGGTCTGACCCACAGTGAGGAGGTCTGACTCACAGTGAGGAGGTCTGACCCACAGAGAGGAGTTCTGACCCACAGTGTGGACCCACAGTGAGGAGGTCTGACCCACAGTGAGGAGGTCTGACCCACAGTGAGGAGGTCTGACCCACAGTGAGGAGGTCTGACCCACAGTGAGGAGGTCTGACCCACAGTGTGGAGGAGCTGTGTCCACATTCAGGGGCCCTTCCTGGGGTTCTATGGAGGCTTAAGCTTCCACAGCTCAGGTAGATCTACAGTCTATGGAGTAGATCTAATAGATCCATGGGTAGACCAGACTGTGAAACCAGAGGTGAATCTGGTGCATAGCGTAGCATACTGTTGTGTGTGTCTGTGTGGTTCCATATACACAGTATCCTTGTGTTTAGTGCGATGCTGAAGATATAAAGAAAATTAATACATGCAGGGAAAAAAAAAGGAAAAAAGGAGGATTTGTTATTTCTTTGGGCAAAAAAAACTGCAGTTAAGTTGTCGAGAAAATGAGATGACAACCCAATATCCAAAACATAACAAATGTCAACAAATGTCAAATGTATGTGAAAAAACCAAATCATTAAATGTACTTAGCATTATCCACCTAATTCCTCACTGGTCGCTGGAAAAGTTTATCTTTGTTGGATAAAGTTTGCGCACCCTTTCTCTAAATGCTCCTTTAAGGGTAAAAATGAACAAATAATGCATATGCTCTTTAAAGATGTTGGCATTCCATAACTAAAACTCAATTATTAACTTGTATGTCTGCGTCAGGGCAGGTTGATTGACAGTGCGCTGTAGAGAGAGGGGTTGCGGGGAATGTAAATGATGTAGCGCAGGGGCCAGGAGAAAGCTATCTGATGGGGCTGCGTGAGTAACATTTCTGTCCATAAATAGAGCGCGTGTGCCTGGCAGAAGACAGACAGTCACAGGGGCAGGACAGAGGGGGAGAACGCAGTGGGATAGCTCTTTTTCTGCACTTACACTCACTGCTGAGCTCAGCTTATCACGGCAGCAGACAGAGTGGAGGCAACACTGGACACATGTTCAAAATTAATGTGTTTGTCTTTTGTTAGGAGCTTGAACCAAGCAGCATGGAACCATCTTGGTTCCAGATGCCACATTCTTCGTGTGAGATTATTCTTATTGGTCTTTCAGCTTAACTGCATTTAATGCTAACATGTGAAGCAATCATCACTTTAAAAGCTATATATCCAACACATTAAATTGTCATAATACGATCTATATTCCGCCCCTTGTAAAGGCTCATCCATGCTCCACGTACCATCATTTGCACAAATCTGTCGTTTGATTCGTCTCAACAGAGCTTGTGGATTCATTCATTCATTGTTCATTGTCCACTTCTCCCTCCTCAGAGCACTCTATCGCCTCCAAAGGCCTTCTTCTGCCCTGTACACCTCACCTGCGCATAGGAAACTTTGTTCCCATCTTGTGTCCCACTTTCTCTCGCAGGGAAGCGCCCAAGCCCCAGTGATCAAAGATGGCGGCCTATTCAAATTAATGGCTTGTGCGCAGTGGCGCATGGCCCCACCATGGGCACCGAGAGATTAGTGGAATTTGCCAATATTTGGTCTCTGATCCTCCTGTTTCTGTGCAGTGAACGGCCTCCCATGATGCTCTGCGCCTAATACTAACTGCGTGTGTGGCTCTCATGCATGTGCCCAGAGTTTGTTGTAATAAATTGTGGATTTATAGAAAACCAATGGATTTAACAAGAAAAAAGTTTCGGATGACAAGGGACACTATCCCCACAAAATGTATGAAAGCTGTAGGTTCTCTGTCAGCTGATGTCGAGCCGTTTTATTTTACATTGAGATCTATGGGAATTTTTTCTGGGTAGCCCCCTGTGCCCCTTGGTGGGACAGTTATAAGCTAGTAATACCCTATCCAGTTCTTTTAATAGATCCATGGAAGCGCCTTGTTTATTGTGGATAGTTTTTCTTTATGTGCTGGTTTTGAAAGCCTACTCGCTATTTCGCCTTGTGGTTCATACGTACTACTTTCCTGTATGTGCGCTGCAACAACGAAATTTCCCCACTGTGGGACGAATAAAGGAACTCTTATTTTTAGGGTTTAAATGCACTGACAGTGAACACGCATTACACGTACAGACTTATTTACGGACGTAACTGGAATATGAAAGAGGCTTAAGACCTTTTCAGAAATGTCACTCTCTCATGACCTACGATAAGAAAAAATAGCCGATTGAAAAGAAAATGGCAGTGACCACAGAAAATGTATGCACACAAGCAATGGCCTATCGTAGATTAGTTTGACTGTCTTCAACGAGACCAAACCCGAGCTTGAATACAAGCTGCAGTGTGAAAAGGCCTTTATAGCTGGTACTTGATGTGACATTGTCTACCTTTATTTTCTCTTCTATTTTCATGATATTTACTTTACCAGGGTGAACATTAAGAGCAAATTCTTGTGGATAGTGTCAAACATACGACGCATTGCTTTGCCACTCACAGTAATGGAAGAAGCTGCTTCAGTATTTGCGGTTCATTTTTGCTCTCAGGTAAACTATGTCGGCAGATTCCCCTCTTGAGATTTCACTCATACTTCTCACCTTAGCGCAGTTACTTTGGAAAACATTTCATTTTCTCTAGACAGGGGGCGATATTGTTTACTGAAGTCCAGTTTTGGGAGATTTTCAAATGCAGAGTTTTTCATCCAGTGGTTCTAGTGTTAAAACAAGTCATCACTCCACCAGAGGATAAAGTTATCACCAGAGCTTGTCTATCTGCAACATAACTTTGGAAATGGGATTAGGAATCAATGTTTGAAGGTCTGCTCTACAAGTGCTTTTCAAGTTTTATACTGACCAATTTACAGCCAACATTATCATAAAGTTGCACGTGGGTCAAGGCTACAAAAGTATTGTTTTGTT